TAATGTGGCATTTAACATCATGTAAGACGTATGGTCGTTTGCAGGTTCCTTATATAAACAAGTGGTAAAATTAATAAATTTATAATACCGACTTCAATATAAATTAAATAAGAACATCATCAATGAATTCTAAGTCAATTTAATACGCATTATTAAAGATAACTCAAAAACTACTGATAGATCTTCAGAAAAGAAAACAGAGAGAAAATAAATAATCATAATCGGTTCGTCCAGAAAATATTCTGAGGTAACTCACTTAAAAAATAAAGTCGAATTGAGAATCTCCTCCCTTTTTGGAGTCGAATGAAAAGTGAGTAGCCATGTTTAAAATAAGTCAAGTAAGAAATAAACGTACAGATGTTACTACAAACAAAGAAAACTACAGATGAGATGTCACCTCTGAAAACTAAGATGGCATGCCTTAAAGTATGTAGTTATATTCACTCTCTAATCACTTCGGATAGCACTTTTACTTGGCATCGGAAATAGGTAACAGGAGGAAAAGATAAATATCAGTGTGGTGATGGCATAAAATAATTTATCACAACGTTTGATCCTATCAGCAAGAGAATCCATAAGTTTCATCCCATATGTGTCGTAAAAACCGACATGCTACCTCTGGTACCTACTTCAATTGTCAATCCACGTGCTAAGCGTGGCAAAAGCAAAGCCGACCTACAAGGTACAGGCCCAATTCCAGCAATGGTTTTACAGTCTAATAAAGAAGATCAAGATATATCTCGTATTTATATCATCCTGTTAATAATAAAGGAACTTATATGTACCATAAAATGTAACTGAGAATTTTCTGCAAGAGCATTGAAAAATTAAGTTACGTCAATTAGCAAGAAGTCGTCTTTTCGAGACTCATAAAATTAAGTTAAATAGGTAAGCAGCCCAAGACTTCGCTTTAATTTCTCCTTCAAAGAATTAACAAATACGTTTCCAAACCAAGGGAAATGAAAGACCAGTTTAGTAATAATGATATTTAGTACATAAAATGCCTTACGTTAATTTATTTATTATTGCTATGTGGAAAACCGTGGTAACTTACACGTGATAGAACCACGCTGAAGCTATGATATTGTTGTAGCGCGAATAGGTCGGCTGGGCTGGTTAAGAACCCCAATCTCACAGAATACTAGCCAAATATAACAAATTCATGCTGCTATGTATTGTAAGGTAACTTTGTAAAATCGTAGACTCTTTTTAGTGGAAATGATGCAATTCACTTGAATCCTCGGGAGTGATAACTCATCTGAATTTTGATTCTTAATCGAAGACAGATTCTGGTACCTATAGGCTAAAGAATCCACTTATTATTAGGTTGACAGTGAGCTCGTCAATCACTTTTATTCTATTAAAAAAAGTCAGGAGCTCTCACGTTTTTAGCTCGAATTAGAGCTGGAGTGCTCGATTTCAAAACACTGTTTTAAACAAAACTGAATGTATAGTCTATCAGACCAGAAACAAATAGCCACCTTGTATTCCACTTATTAAATTGAGTGCTAACCCCTTTCAAGGGCCCCAAAATGATTAAAAGAGAAAGCAGTTAAAGTATCTTAGATATTTAGCAAGTCGTTGTCATTGAGAGCTAACATGATAGCTTTGTTCGTTCGTTACACAATCGAAGTTAGAATCACTCTGATTTAAAGTTACTTTGGCATTAGGCATACCCCTTTCCACAAGCGGTTTTTGTTCTAATGACCTTCAACTATAATATGTATGCCGGGAGTTGAAATCAAACAAAGTGGCATAAGCAGTTTACTCAGAATCATCTGATCCAATGGATCCTCTAAGGCAACTACACGGTAAATCTTTGACCTTTTTTAAATAAGTGGTTAAGTCAAATTACAGCCTTTGTACGTCTAGGCTATATCTAAAGAACTCCTCTCATTTCTGAGAGGTTATTAGGCTAAGAAAAAAATAAGTGGTAGAGTAAGCAGCAAAATTCATCCCTTAATTATTTTAGCCGTTGAATTATGAATAATGGAACATTGTAACTAAATTACTCCTGTAGCAGACAGCTGTTAATGCTTTATCCAATTATAAAGTTTAACTTCAAACTTAGGAACTGTGAAGGTAAGTATTTTATAATATCAGGAATGTCACCTTTATACAATTGTACTAAATTTCAATACCATAAGAAATAATTAAATTGAGCTGCTTGACTAAATTATGAATAAATTTTAAATTAAAGAAAATTAAGTGACGGCTCCGTGGCGCATAGACTTAGCAATGAGTTGCAGCGATGAGGGCTGCGGGTACGAACCCCGTTCGGAATAAGTCGGTCTGCAAATAATTGTTACAGTCTGGATGTTCCTATTTTAAAAAGACTTTCTATAAGTATAATGTAATAATCCACATTGAATAAAAATCATTCATTTCTTCACATCACTTTTATTTAAAAAATATGCTGGCGTTTGGGTAATGGACTTTAAAAAACAGAAAACTCTTCACCAAATATCGATTTTGTTTCGACATAATTCAACCATAGCAACTACTGTAGTATTCACTGAAAGTTATAGGCACAAGAATAAACTGTCAGCACTTTAATTGACGGGGTAAGGCCTTGTACAGAAAATCTAGAAAATAATTACCTATTTTTTTTATAGGACATTCTCAAAGTCAACGTCGCACTCAAAAAATTTGTATTCAAATGTGTCCTTCACAAAGCACTTTTTGAAAATTAAAAAAAGCTACTATATCGCTTCAACAAGGTATTCATTCTATTGGTTGCATTTCTTTTCTTTGCATTTGTTGAGTGTGCGCAGAAATTACATGCTTAAATTGCTCCCTCTCTATTCCACCATCGGACAACCAGGCGGTCGGCGGATCTTCACCCCTTAGATCTACGAACTTCAAATCCTACGCACTCCAGCAAAATACAAAGAGACATTAATTGCTCCCGATTTCTGGCAATCTGGGGTAGTGTTTCGCCGATACAGGGACGCGCCAAAGAAGAAAGTTCCCTAAATAATTTTATATTTATAAGTATATATTGCTATGGGCCAATGTTTTTGAGTTCTTGATGCTTGATTGCCTGGGGACCTTCAAGAAAAGAGATTACTCCTTTCTAAAGGGCCGGCAACGCACCTGCAATTCCCCTGGTATTGCGGTTGATCATGGGCGGCGGTAGTCACTTAACATCAAGTAAGCCGCATGCTCGTTTGCCGCCTCTTCTATAAATAAATAAATAAAATAAACACTCTCTGTAATTGAACTGACACTCTTAAGTCCTTTCCTTTCAGACCAGAACACATAACTGCTTGGTGGCAGATATTGGTAAAATGTAGTCGTATTATGTTTACCTATAGATATACTTAAAAATACTTTCACAACTGCAAAGTATAAGTCTTACCACGAGTGCGCCGTATACACCTCATTAGCACTTGGTTTATTTGAAATCATCCTCACTATTATTTGAACCAGCCACGATTATCTCACCTTTCCTGGTATTGAAATCCTCCCTCCCCACGCTTTATGGCAAATGATTTCTGACAAGTATAGTAATATTACCCTTAACAGGGGACTAATCTTTGGCTAATTTATAATTAAAACCAGATCAACCAATCTCGAAGAAATTAATAATGTTATGAAAAAAGTTACTCTTTTTTTTGTGAAATGTAATGTTTTCAATATTTTTTATGAATAAATATGATTTTTCATAAACTGTAAAATACAAAGAATTGGCGAAAATTGTTTTATTTTTTGAAAGAATTTTGAAATAAGAAATTTTTTAAAGTGCTCAAGAATTTCTTTTATTTCAAATTTCGTGCACTTCAAGCGTAGCCATTACGGCACCGAAGAAATTCACTTCATTTTCGTCATTAAACTTATTCGTTGTTCTTTGGGTAGAGAAATTAAACCGACTTCGACTTTTTTTCTATTTCATACAAAATAATACCATGGCGGGTTGCTACTTTGATTTAATTTCATCGGACTATCCATTCCACCATCGTTATTATAAATTATATTCTCGTAACATTTTCTTTGGATTAAATAATTTTGTGAGTTTCTTTAATTTCATAAAAGTATTTTTACCCTATACATTTTGGCTCTGTAGAAATACACTTAGGCATAAAGTTTAAGCACAAATAAGTCAACTCGGAAGGACCGCACTTGCACAGAATACTATCGTGAAATAGCATATATTATTACGTGTTTAAAAATATGTATTTTTCCTATTTCTTTTTCCTTAATTTTAATTTACAAATGTTGACTTTAGATTTAATAACTATATAGTCCGCTTTCTGTGCAGTATGCATCATCATACGAATTTCAGATATTATTTATACAAAAAATAAATAATAAAAAGATTGCCCATTGACTTTGCCACTGTCACTGTCAACCTACTGGCCCGGGCGGGCGTTTCGATCATTTCGTTTTCTGTGTGTTGCATCATCCGCGTGTGCCCCGCAAGAAGTGATTGTTTTTAAATTAAATTTTTGTTAAAATGAGAAAAAGAACAAGTGACGAAATGAGAAACAAAATATCAAAAAAAGTTAAGTTTGGAAAGGGAGTTAAATTCTCGACGAAAACCGCCCGAGGATTTCCGTAATAAATGTTAGTTTTGAAACCTTTCTAAATCATAATTAACTTTATTTTTCTTATTTATAGTTGCAGTAACAAGTGATATAAAGATAATATTTTAATACGTACAGTTTACAAAGAACATAATACATAAATAATGTTAATGGGTGATTTTAATTTAAGTACCCACATATTAATTATTAAATTTCAAGTTATTTTATTTCCTCAGTGGTGACACGTGATGTTACCCAGAAAGTGAGGAGTTAATAATCGGGATAGTTCTATTGTTATTGTCTGAAGTATTTATACCAATATTTCATCAGTGATGGCACTTGATGTCATCCGGAAATAATTTACTTACTTTCTTAATATGGTAACACGTGATGTTATCCAGAAAGTAAATATTAAGCCGATTTAACCTTGTTCTATTAGATCTTGAATATAACTCTTGCGACGATTATGAAGAAATGGAGTCTGACGCGTACGATTACGGCGGTGACAGTGGTAATGTCAGTGAGGAAGAAGCCGCAGCTGAGCGCCGCAGGCCAAAGTCCGTCATTGAAATGCCCACGCTAGCATTGGCAACCTGTTGCTTGAAGCTTAAACTATTATTACTGAATTTTTTTCAGAAGGCGCCCATGTTCATTCACCAGCACAAGACGAGGAAAGTATACTTAAGCGAAAGTAACAAAAGTAACCAAGTTAATAGAAAAATATAGCCTGCAGATTAAAAGATCATAATTGTCTGCTCTTAGAAAACCCATGGTCACAGGTGTGCAGGGAGTGGCGCGCGCAATCCGCGCGCTGGCTCGGTTCTACATTCCACAGCAGCCCGCCACCCGCAGGCAACCGCCAGCGGCACTGCGCCCCCCCGCCGACCGAGCGGGTAGAGAGCGGTGGGTGCAACCTGCGCGCAGACTCTGTTCTACCTTCCACCTCAGCAGCCCGCCACCCGCAGGCAACCGCCAGCAGCACGGCGCCCACTGCTGACCTGGCGGCAGAACTATTACAGCCGCCGCTAAAGGTAACAATGGATTGGTTATAGTAAAGGGCTATTCGTTAATATTCACTCGAATTCCTACCTAACTCGTAGAGCCTGGCAATCATCTTGGTTCAAAAATGGCAATGTTGAAAATGATCAAGTAACTTAAACGTTCAGGATCAATTGTGTCAAATGATTGTGATGGTCAATTTATATCTCCGATATTTCATATTCCTAAAAGTAACGGATAATACAGATTTATTCTTAATTTGGAGTCACTTAATAAATTTATACTGCAAAATAAAAGTCTTCAAAATTATTATCTGAGTCATTTATGGCAACAATTGATCTCTTTTTATGACAACAATTGATCTTAAAGAAGCATATTTTTTGATTCTCGTCCATAAATCCTCCAGAAAGTACTTACGATTTCGTTTCAATAATACATTGTATGAATTTACTTGCATCCCAGCATATTTTGATGACCTCTGGATCTCGTTAGACGACTTTAACTCGCGTTTAAATTTGATAACGGAAGTTATTCATTCTTTAGAGCAATGAGGTTATGTGATAAATTACGATAAAAGTGTTCTCATATCTAGTAAGATGTGTAAATTTCTTGGATTTTTATTGAATTCACAACATATGACCTTTGAATTACTATCAATGTGGTATGCTAGAAGATGTTGTGACCAGGATTAAGAAAGGAATGCTTCGGTGGTTTGGTCATGTAGAAAGAATGAATGAGGAAAGAGTGAGAAAGCAAATTTATATGGCAGAGTCGGGAAGGGACGCCCTAGAAGAAAGTTTATCGACCAAATTGGCGATATTTTGAAAATGGGCCACGTTAGAAGTACACTTAACCAACGAGCATGTATGCGTAGATATATGGATGTAAAGGAGGCGAAGGAGGTATGTCAGGACCGTGCCAAATGGAAGTCCGTAGTCTCTGCCTACGCCTCTGAGTGACAGGCGTGAGTGTTTATGTATGTATGTATGTAATTGCGATCAGAAAAACGTTGTAAATTTAATAAAATGATTAAGAATATGTCTTATAAATTGGAAGTGAAGATAAAAGATTTTGTTCATTATATAGGTACTTTAACAGCTTTTCCAGCCGTAGGCGACAGCTAGATATACACCAAGCACTCTGAGAGGGTTAAAGTATCTTACTCTCTTGAAAAACAAAGATTATGAAGCAAAAATGAAAGTTTTTGCGTCATAATCTTTGATAAACCATGATTTTTTATGGTGGGAAACAAAAATAAATTAAGCAAACAATTATGTAAAACAAGTCATTTTTAACTAGAATTTTTTTCCGATGCCCCACTTACAGGTTGGGAAATATTCTGCAACGGAGAAACAGTAATGGGATATTGGTCAGAGAAATAAAAGGAAAAACATCTAGCGATGCAGCAACTCGTATAATTTTGGTTGAATGAAGTTCACAGGTAAGTTCCATTAACATTAATTTGACATTACAGGTCTTAAATGCTATTATGCGTTATTTGCATTCTCTTTAGAGAGTTATAAATTTGCTTTCGATTAGCTTAAGTTATGTTAGATTTAAACGATCTTTAAAGTTTTATTAGTTTTGCTAGTAATAATTATAGTTGCCACCCGGCTGACAAACATGGTAACTATGCATATATAAAAAAAAAAAAAAAAAATATATATATATATATATATATATATATGCCTATATATAATTTATATTTGCCAAATAACAATCTATAGAGGAGGCCTATAGACCACAATGGACTTCCGGTAGGCTATTACTAAGGTGATAATCATGCTAGCAAATTTTAATTGGCAAGTGCTACACTGCTACAAAAGATATGAAATACAATCAAATATATTAATTAGAAAATAGAATTTCTTTTATAAAATCTCATTTTTTTAATCTGCTTAATTCCTTTTTGAAGTAAAGTTCCTCAGGCCGGAGAAAAAACGGTGAAAAAAATTCACAGGCATATGAATTGTGTAATTTTTTTAAAACTAATGTTTAAGTATCATAATTTAAACAAAATGGAAAACAGTAAGAGGTCCATAAAATTTGGAGCTTATCAGTGTATAGCAAACCGAGCAGAACAGCACCCGCAAGCAGCCTATTTTCACAAGTGTAATGCATTTTATGGGTACAGGCCGCTAAAACAAAACGTCGTGGGTCGTGTTTTTTTTAAGGGTGAAAAACAAGCACACAATCCACCTGACTGTAAGTTGTTACTGTGACTTATATACATCTACATCTATTGTCGACTACAAATAAAAACGCAGACGCGTTATCACTCGTGAGGACCAAGATGGAATGCCACGTTTGCAGTAAAAAGGGTGTCTGGTTCTCTACACTCACTAAACGAAACACAGCAGCATTAAGCTACTATTTTACGCTGTTATTCTGCGAGATCATGGTCCTTCCCCGTTCGAGCCCATCAATTCGTGCTACAACCATAATATAGCTACAGCGTAGCTCTACCATATATTAAAATTCTCCAGAACACTAAACAGACTTCTTTTTTGCACATATCTTGCCTTAAACTCTTTCTACAATTCTAGACCACAGTCCAAAACATGTTTATTCAGTAGTCTTATACTCACTAATTGTAGCGTCATTGTACAATGGTGAGTTAATTACAATCTGTAGTCCTCTGCTAAACATAAGCCTTCCTTAAAGATTGACCCTAAGGGGGAATAACTGCCATAGTGCCATATTATTTGAGCCCTTGACAAGAAGATGATTCAAAACCCACGAAATAATATACTTAGAGAAGTGGATTCAGTTAATCCTCCACAGCAAGGTCGGTCAGCTAGTAAGTTGTGCTTTTTTTATAAATATAAATACCTTAAAATATTGAAATGAAAATATTTAGCTAAATGAATTAATGATATATAATTTATTGTACACAAAAAAAAGGCTTTTTAAAAAAAGGCACGCTGCAGCTATATTAGGATTGTAACAATAATAGGTCGGCTCGACCAGGAAAGGACCACCCTCTCACAGAATTCCAGCGTAAAATAGCAGCTTAATGCTGCTGTGGTCAATGGTGAGTGTAGAGAAACAGAGACCCGTTTTAATCGAGGCATTCCATCTTAGCCCTTAAGGGTGACAGCGCTTCTTCATTTTGATTCTTAATCGAGGTTAAATGTAGATGTCTGTGGGTCACGGTATCCACTTGCCATCGGGTGACTGTGTGCTCGTTTTTCACCCTTACCCTATAAAAAAGAACAAAAACACAGCAAATTATTTTAAAGTATAATTGGAGGCCATATTGCTTTGCAGAGTATAAAATAGTATGGAAAAATATAATAAACCTAAATAATTTAATTGCTATTAAATAAAGTAGTAACAATAAAAAACTCAATCTTACATTTTTATCGCTTATTCCTTTCGTCATTACTTTTTTATACAGAATAGGGTGACAAACGAGCACACAGTCCACCTGGTGGTAAGTCGTTGCTGCTACCCATAGACATCTACAGCTATCCTCGATTATAAATCAAAATGCAGATGTGTTGCCACCCGTGAGGACTAAAATGGAATGCCTCTTTTCCAGTATAAAGGGTCTCCAGTTCTCTACACTCACCATACGGAACAAAGCAGCATTAAGCCTATATTTTACGCTGGTATTCTGTGAGAGCGTGGTCATTCCTCGGTCGAGCCAAACCATGCGTGCTACAACTAAACTACTGATATAACTGTAGCATGGCTCTACCACGTATAAAAATTATGCACAAACATCCTTTTTGAATTTAAACATTATGTGCAATTAAATACTTTTACAGATCCACTGTATTTGAATTCTTGAATTACTATACAATAATTGGTACATAAATTATTAATTGAAAAAATAATAACATTACTGTTACATAATTAATATTAAATATTATTTGGGATTAGTTAAGCTATTATTATTTTAATAATTACGCAGCAGTATAAATGAATTCATAATTTTAATTACAATAAAATTATAATTTACAAATCTTAGACTATCACGCAAATATTGCCAAATTTACATTTAAAAAAATCAATAATATGAATTACTAATTGACTTTAGAAATAAAACGTCTATATTAATTAATTTCTTTAAACTAAATTGTGTATTAATATAATAAATTAGAAGAATTTATGATTAACTATATACATAGATGTAATGTTATCTCAAATTATTCTGTTACACTATATAAACATTTATCAATCAGCCATGATTTTAGTATCTTTATAAAGAAAGGGGAAGATAACTACCTGATATTAGAGAGAATTTTGTTATACATTATAATAGTCATCATCTAGCAATTTTTTTTTCAAAAAGTGAGCATTTACATGATGGAGCCAAAAGGCGGTTAGTGTCTCTATGGCGTAGCCGTGGATTGACCGTTTCAAATTTCTGAAAAAATTGTGGATGATTTCTAACAAAAAGTTCTACTTCTAAGATGTAGAGGCCTGTTAACGTCAATAATTTAAATTCTTTAAATAATGGTCGGCAAGTATCACACAAGGAGCAGGACTCCTGAAATAGCTCTTACACATTTTTTGTATGATAAATGCTTTACTTATATTTGGAGTCTTAATAGTTACATTAATCATTTCATCCCTCATTTTCATACTTAGAGATTTACCTTTACAGCTTATTAAAGTTCACTGCTGAACATAAGATCTCCCATATCCCCCATCCCCCATAGATTGTCTTATAGGAGGGCTAATTGCCATAATTGCCACGCTTGGTGAGTGGGTTGGCTACCACAGGTTTTTTTTTGGTTGTTATTAAGGAGACGTTGCTGCCCTCCTCGTAGTTTGCTCCTCTCTGTCACCTCATACAATACCTACAGGACCATATAGGGCAGTGGACATTTTTATACTGTCACTAAGCGCTTAACTTGAAAAAACAATCATATGTATACATATATATATATATATATATATATATATATATATATATATATATATATATCAGATATATATCGATTCACAACTAACGAAATTATCGTTTAGCATACACACAACAAAGAGAAGAAAACTTAAAGTCAAAATGAGAACTTAGCTACGTTTTCTAAGTCGGGTAAAA